CAATGCATCTCCCACATACTCTGGTGTGCTGCTGATCCTGATCGTGCTGAATGGTACTTCAACAACCAGCGGTTCAGGCACACGCTGAGTCACGGCCTTAGTTAGCAAGGTAACGTTGGCATGAGTATGTGTCCACCTTCGTACTAGTTCTAGTGCTGCGTCAACAGGTCGAAAAGCCTTGACGTTCCTTCCGGCCGGCACTTCATCCAATGAAGCCTTGCATGCCGAAATTAAGTCATGGTTCTTGCAAACTCAGCAGATTCATAAGAGCACTCTGCGCTTGAAGCTGCTGATATTGACATTGAGCAAAGCTCTGCCTCATGCGCTTGCATTGCAAGCATCAACCATCAGCCAAACGAACAGCAGACTTCTGCTCGCAAGGCTCACTGCTAAGTCAGTGTGGTCTCAAGAAGAATGGCAGCGTTGGTGCTCGTCATGCCTGGAATCTGAGAAGGTACAGAAGGCATGCTTATCGTTTACTCACGAACGTGCCGCAGAAGTGCGTAAAGTGCGCACGTGGGCTCTCAAGCGGCCCTCCGCGTCAAAAAGGCAGAAGCAGAAGCGGACCATTTTCACTGCAGCTCGAAGATCGAAGCTGCGCACACAAGGGGTCCGTAGGTGACGGTGACGCTGGCATCCTGAGTGCGCTCAGAGAAAGAAAGTTGTTCGTGTGACATGCTCGGTTGTTAGGGCATGCTGTGTCTGAGATTGAAAAGTTGCTTCCGGCATTTGATACTGCCATATCGGATTTTGTGCCGCCTTTGCTACGCATGCCGGTGTACGACGATCATCATCGGGAGGCGCATGTTGTCAGCATAGCAGTGTTGGTGGCCTTCTTGGGATCACAGCTTATTTGGAGGCTGGAAAATGGCCGACGCAACAGCCCGGCCTGGGACTGTTGGCCGGGGTGGATGCAAGTTACATTGCCAGTTGTTGGGAGAGCCCAGATGTTAGCCGGGATCGTGATGCTGCCCAATGATGGCCCAATGTCAACTGTGGCTGTTGAGGTGGCCATAAGGGAGGGCGACGTGATACGTATGTCGGCTCGCCGACAAATCAGCTTGCAGGGTGGGCCACATCAGACCTTCTGGGACTGTAGCCATCATCTCCTTTGACGGTTTGCCATTCCACAGCTTCTTGCAGGATTTTTATATGTGGTTTGTCAGCCATCAACCCTTTTGTGGGGTTTGTCACTTCATGCCTTCTTTTGAAGTCCTGATGATACCAATGCTTGTATCTGATCTACTGAGCATGATGTCGACGTATGTCGGCTCACCGACAAATCAGCTTGCAGGGTGGGCCACATCAGACGTTCTGGGACTGTAGCCATCATCTCCTTTGACGGTTTGCCATTCCACAGCCTCTTACAGGATGTTTATATGTGGTTTGTCAGCCATCAACCCTTTTGTGGGGTTTGTCACTTCATGCCTTCTTTTGAAGTCCTGATGATATTAATGCTTGTATCTGATCTACTGAGCATGATGTCGCAAAGAGGGTGCAAGCCGAGCTGTGTGAGCAGTTGGAGTTCAGGCTTCCGAGCATTGGAGTACAACCCAGGTGCATTCATGATGCAGGTAAGAGCACAGAGGGATGTGCATTGTATGTTACACCGGGCTGAGTGTTCACACTGTATAACCGACCGAATCAATCACATTATACGTAAAGGTTCCTGCCTCATATATATATATATATATATCAAAACATACGTTCTTATAATTCTAACAATTTATGTACAATGTCTTGCAGTTGCTTTTGTAGCAGCACAGTTTTAAATACTGTCGTGGTGTTTATTTTTGCAAAAGCGCCGGCTTGAGTGATACTATAACGGAGTTTAAGCAACTGGCTTCGGTTTTAACACGGTTCTTGTGTTCTAACGTTTGTTTTGTGTCCTTTGAAATTTAGTTTTGCTTTGTGACAATTTGAAAAATTGTCACGAAACAATCATAAATCTAGGCACGAAAACTATATAAATGTTCAAAACGTTTTAATGGCGGTTATACAAATTTTGAATAATTTTTATAGGTTTTTTATAGAATATGTACCAAAGAAATATGAATTTTCATAAGAAACTATCAAGAATTTCTATCAAAATTTTTACGACTCTTACATTCTCTTTGATAAATTTAATTTCTGTACATTTTTTAGAAATTTTTGTAAAAAATCTAAGAATTTCTAAACAGATTTTAAAAAAATGTATAAAATTTTGAAGAATTTTGCATGATTTTTACCAAAATGGCGGTCCAGTTTCGGTCCGGTTTCATGAAAACTGGACTCCGGTGGTCCGGTTTGAGTCCGGTTTCTATGAAACCGGACCACCGGGGTCCACTTTTCATGAAACCGGACCGAAACTGGACCGCCACTTTGGTAAAAATCATGCAAAATTCTTCAAATTTTTTATAAAAATTTCTTCAGAATTATTTTTTATCAAAATTCTTCAAAATTTTAGAAAAGTTCTTAAACTTTTTATAAACAATCTTAAAAAATTTCTGGAAATTTATTACACAAATCTATGAAATTTTTAAAAAATGTAGACAGAATTCAAAAATTCTATAAAAATTATTAAAACAGTTCTACACAAATTTTACAAACTTTGATAATAATCAAAAAATCATAGAACACATTAAGACTGTGATAAAGATTGTCAAGCATTTTTAAAACTATTTAGAAATTCTCAAAACAACCCACAATGCTATGCATGAAACAATGATTTCGCAAAACAAAATTATGGAAAATATACAGAACAGTCTATGTTTTGCAACAGGACATATTGAACAACTAACAGAATGGTTCTGAAACTCAAAACAATACTTTTCCAACATAAAACACTAGTACGTTTCCTCTGTGTCTAATCGTCGTTAGCCATCTGTTTATATACGTATATACCCTCAACCTACCAATACACCAAACCCTCAAACCCCTACACCCCGACCTGAAGCCCTAACCCAGAAACCCCAAGCCCTCAAACCCCTACACCCCAACCTCAAGCCGCAACCCAGCAACCCCAAGCAGTCAAAACCCTACATCCCAATCTCAAGACTCAAGCCCTAACCCAGAAACTGCAAGAAGCCCTGAACCTAGCAACCGCCCAAGCCCTCCAAAACCCCGAACCCATCAACACTCAACCTGAAGTCCCGAAGCCGCCCAAAGGCCAAACACAAAAACCTTTGAACACCGAACCCAAAGACCCCTAATCCAAGAAACCCTACACCCCTAAACCCCTCAACCCAGACCCCAAAACCTAGTACCACGGAACCCTAGCCCCCTCAATCCAGAAACCTTGAACACCAAAACCCAATAAAAGCATCCCGTAGAACTACCTACACAACCCGGAACCCATTAACACGCAACCCCAAGCCCCTTCAACCCAGTTAGCTTAATCCCCTAAACCCCCCAGCTCAAACCCCAAAACACGTATTCCAAAGACCTACCTCTAGCAAGCCTGTACCAGCGGACCAAGCTAACCCAAAGACCTAGCTACCCTGCCTAGCCACCTATCCGGACCTATCTACCTACCTACACTTCTCAAAAACCCCAAACCTCGGGATATGATTTGTTAGTTAGAGTCATCTGAGGTGCCAGCCGTATGTTAGCTACATGCAAGAAGATCTAAGTAGCAAACAAAATCGACACATACAAGAGCTAGGTACACGGAGTAACTAAGTCACAACCAACAAGCAACAATGAAGACAAACCAAACAAATTCGCAGTAACACACATGGAAAATCAGTTGTTCCGTGCACAAAAACAAAGCAAAACATGCATTCGTTCAACTTAACACAGATCTGCTACTGAGAAAAACATATCAATTTGAATGTTCTATGCAAAAATTCTATCAAACTGGATGCTAATCAATAGTAGTTTGTCAAGCACAGTGAGCAGTTTCTAGGCTATATTCAATAGTAGGATATAGGCTATTTCAGATATAACCTATACCTATAGAATAACCTATAGAATAGCCTATAGTTTATTTATATAAACAAACTATATAGTTTGCTTTTGAAGAATAGGATATATGTCCCTAAATAGCCTAACCCGGTCTTAGAGGTGTGAAGCACAATCGCGACGCGTCGCACCAGAAGGGCTAGCATCTGCGGGACGGCTGAGACGGGATGGCCGAAAACGGACGTGTCAGGCTCACCACGGAGTCCTTTGCCACGCCACTTTCTTGGGGAAAATTGACTGAAGGTTTTTTGTCCGAATTACGCCTCGTGTCATGTCGTTGCTTTTCCTCGTGTTAAAGCACACAATCCACTCTTTGTTTCTGCAGAGGGACTTTACATATCCCATGACCCTTGGTACTTTAAACTTAAACATGCTTCGGACATGGCTCACCTTCTACCCAAATCGGCCCTTGCCATCTGTTTTGCAGCACCAAAACTATGCAGTCACGATCCATCCGCTCCAGCACCACTTTGGAACAAAAGGTAGGCAGGTTTCCGGAATCGCAACTGCAATGAGTAACTCACTTTTCGGATTCGAGCCAGAGGCCTACGGCAAGTAGGGTCGTTTGGACCACAATACATCATTGTGCGTTAGCCGTTAGCTGCAACTATCGACAAACACATTACATCAAGGTCCTGAACATGGTGAGTTCAACTCGCTAGCCTGAAAGGCAGGTAGGTATGTTCCACGATTCACAACAACCCATGATGCTGATGAGGATGAGTGGATGAGGATGATCACCATCACCACCTTCAAAGATAAGCCGGCAATGCTTGACTGTGTGGGCACACCTACCAACTTGAAGCTGTCATCGGAACAACGTCACCGTGCTCCTCCTCCTCCTCCTCCTCCTCTTTCTCCTCCTCCTCCTCCTCCTCCTCCTACTGCTGCGTTCGCCACTGCGGCCAACACCACCACGACGACCACCACCACCAATCGGGAAGCAACGCAGTCATAGCATAGCTCATGATGGCCACCATGTCCACAGTCCTTGTCATAGCCTAGTATTGCAGACCTCGGTTCTTGAAACCAAAGCCTTAAAGCGATGATCTCTCGTCCTTCTCGACGGTCTCCGCGTCCAGGTTGTAGGAGAGGCCTCGTTCAAACGGACACATGCGCCCAGAAAGACCTTCCCCGAACGTCGTCAGACCGAGAAGCCCCTGATGCAAACCGTGAGCTCGTCGTTCTGACTGCCCTTTCCTTTGCCCTTGTCCTCGGTTCTGAGTTCTGAGTGGGAGTGGGACTTGCTGAGAGCAGCCATTCCTTTGCATGACTTTTCCGGGTCTGCTGCTTTTCCTTTGCTCTTGCCTTTGTCTTTTCCCTTCTCCTTCCCTTGGAGAAAAGAAAGCTCGAGAACCTCACAAGTGCGGGTCGGCCCGGCCTTTGCCCTTAGCGGGCTTGTCTGAGGAGAGGTTCACCTCGCATTGCCAAAGAGAGATTTTGGGCACGGGGAGAGCGAGAGCATGCGAAAGCACCTTCAAGGTGCGGCCACCATACTCGTCGCCATCGTACTTCAGCGCCGCTTCCACGCCTCAAGAACCCAAAAATGATTTTCACCGCGGCTCAGTGGCTCGCAACTACGGCCTTCTTTGGTCTTGAAAGTGATGAAGGCGATGCCTCCGGCGCCGTGGCACGACGGTGTGGCGGAGTGTGGCGCGGCGCGGCGGCGCGGGCTTCCGCCTCTCGGCCGGCCCTCGTCGTTCTTCGGCATGCTAAACCTCAGATATGGGGGGGCAGAGCCGCCCGGAGAAGTCGGCGACTGCTTTAAAGCCGGGTGCCAGACTTGACGATCTCCCCGCACTCCTCGAAGTCTTTCTTCACCTGCTCTTCGCCTCATAGCTGAGGCGAAGCGCGGCCGCTGCCGCCGCTGCCGCTATACCAGGTGTCTCCCTGAAATTCTCTCAGGCGGAGGGCTGGTCGCGAAGGGCAAGCCGCCGACGAAGACTTCGTTCGACTCCTCGGCACTGGATTCTTTCAGGTTCACCCGGACTTTCCGGCCAGTCTCCGCGTCCTTGCCATCGCCTGGGCTGGGCACGCTTCGCACTCGGGGGACACCAGGGAAGCAGATCTGATCACCAAAAGCCGGCGCCCCACCTTCCGTCTTGGCCTTCTTCGCCTGCTATCAACAGTCTACTGTTCTCGCAGAGGCTGCGCACTGCCTTCCAATTCAGTCCATCGCACCTTGGGAGGAGGGACTTCCTCCTCCTCCTCCTCCTCCTCGTCATCGTCATCGTCATCATCCGCGGCAGCCTGCAATGCAAGCGCGGAACGCGCAGAGCATGGCCTTAGGATCCCAAGCCTTCGCCTTGGCTTTGGGCTTTGCCTTGGGCTTTGGTGCAGGCTCATCATCGTCATCGTCGTCGGAATCGTCGGCCACGGCTTTGGCTTTAGCTTTTGCCTTGGGCTTCGGTGCCTCAGCGGAACTCAGCGCACATCTGCTACTTACTCAATACCACAGGTACTCGGCTTCCAGCTGGCTCGTCTTCGTCGTCATCGTCGTCGTCATCATCGACTGCAGCCTTTGCTTTGGCCTTGGCTTTGACCTTTGCCTTCGGTGCCTAAGTGACGGCTTGGGCACAGTTGGAATCATGCAACCTGTCCGGGGCGTCTGCGGGCTCGTCATCGTCGCTGTCCTCATCATCGTCTTCATCTGCAGCGGCCTTCGCTTTGGCTTTGGCCTTTGCTTTGGCCTTCGCTTTGGGAGCCTCGGCAACAGCTGTCAAAGTGCAACGATAACGGCATGCAGTGAATTCTTGAGGCTTCTGCCGGCTCATCATCGTCATCGCTGTCATCGTCATCATCTGCTGCGGCCTTCGCCTTGGCCTTTGCTTTGGCCTTTGCTTTCGGAGCCTCAACAAGCAATCTGCATGCATGAAACCCTGCCGCGGTCTGCTTGAGGGGCGTGCCGGCTCATCATCGTCGCTGTCATCATCGTCATCCGCGGCCGCCTTTGCTTTAGCCTTTGCTTTGGCTTTGGCTTTTGGAGCCTGGAAGGAAAAGAGTGACAAGTAGAAGCGACCCCAAAGCGCGTCCTCTGCTGTCTGCCCGAGGTATGCACCGGCTCGTCATCGTCACTGTCGTCGTCATCATCATCTGCCGCGGCCTTTGCCTTGGCCTTGGCCTTTGCTTTGGCTTTTGCCTTCGGGGCCTCAGCGAGAGGCTTGACACCCATCTCCGAGACGTGGGTGCGATGTACTTAGGACAACCTGGGCCAATGCGGGCTCATCATCGTCACTGTCGTCGTCGTCGTCTGCGGCCGCCGCTTTCGCTTTGGCCTTTGCTTTGGCCTTGGCCTTGGGAGCCTCAATGGAATGACTTCAGGCTGCAAGGTCGCACATGGCTCGCTGTCTATGTGAGGCCTGGGCTGGCTCATCGTCGCTGTCATCGTCATCATCTGCTGCGGCCTTCGCTTTGGCCTTTGCTTTGGCCTTTGCTTTTGGTGCCTTCAGATGGCCAAAACCGGGCTTGGTGACGGATCCCCTCACCTGTCTGGGGCCAGTGCCGGCTCATCATCGTCGCTGTCATCATCGTCATCCGCGACCGCCTTTGCTTTAGCCTTTGCTTTGGCTTTGGCTTTTGGAGCCTGGAGGGAAAAGAGTGGCAAATAGAGGTTGCCCCCAAAACGCGTCCTCTGCTGTCTGCCCGAGGTATGCACCGGCTCGTCATCGTCACTGTCGTCGTCATCATCATCTGCCGCGGCCTTTGCCTTGGCCTTCGCCTTCACTTTGGGCGAGGCTTTGGCCTTGGCCTTGGGTGCCTGGCTCAGCAGCGAGGAGGGTGGTGGCCGGCGTGACGGTAACTTCCAGGCGAGGCGACATCGCAATCGCAGCTGGGTGTCAGACAGGCTCGTCGCTGTCATCGTCGTCCTCTGGCACCGGCTTCTTTTTGGCACCCTTTGCTTTGGCCTTTGGTGCCTTGTGTTCTCGTCTCTCGATTGGGATCTCCTGAGAACTTGGTTCCGCACCGGCTCGTCGCTATCGCTGTCATCGTCATCTGCCGCAGCCTTGGCCGCCTTGCACACGGCGCAGCAGAGGCGCGCCCTTCCCGGCCGGCGCTTTCTACTGGCCTTGCCCTTCTTCTCGAGCGCAGACAGCTTGCTCTTCGCCATCTTCACGGCCTGGGAGCGGGGAAAAAACAACGAGAAGCCGGAGGCGTGCCCCGCTCCGGCTGAGGCCGAGGCTTGCATCGAGGACACGTCCTCCTCCTCCTCGGGCTCCTCCGCCTCCGCCTTCTTCTTGCCGCCCAAAGCGCCCTCTTTCTCGGCCTTGCGCTTCCCGTCCTCGGGGAAGCAGCGCGGCGGCGGCGGCGGGGGGGCGTTTAGGGCCGGGCCCGGCCCGCCTGGCCTTCTTCACTTTGGCCATAGCCTCGCAAGGTAGAAGCTTCCTCCCCTCGACCCTCAGCACTTGGCCAGTGCCCAACTGCCGGAATTCAGCTCGAACGTACGGAGTGCTTTTCGTCTTTTTTTTGACGTTGCACGTTTTGGGGTTCACGGCCTCACTGGGGCAGTGGCTGTGGCACGAAGTGGGCCTCTCTCGCGAGCTTCCTACGCGACTTCTGAAGCCCAAAAGCGGTCGCCAGCCTGCTCTGTCAACCAGCCAAGCAGCTGCTAGCAATGATACTTCCCAGCATGACTGAAGAAGCAAGAGTGTGCGACATTGCATTGGAGTCCGGATGCGCGAGCAGTGCAAAGCAGTTCGACAACCTTCATCTGCAGAAGCTCCGATCTGTCGTCCGTCGCACCGAAGCGCTTCCAAGAATTTCAAATCAAGGGCCATCCATGACCCATGCAAAACCAGCAGCACAAAATGCGTACAAAGGCGCGGAAATGCTGCTGGAGTTTCCACAGCATGGTCGGCGAATCCTTTAACACAAGGTCCACAGAAAAGTGTGGTCCTTCACATAAACGCTGAATTGGAGCGTTGAACAACGCCTGAGATACACTCCCCACGACGCAGACATCCCGCCTGCACAAAGATCCATCGTGGGGGTTTGTGGGACCAGACCTGTCTAGCTGGACCGGCCCGGTTCCACCGGTGAAACAAACAAAATCGGACTCCCAAGGAGCCCCTACTGCACCAAGATTGACTTGGCAAAGTTGTGTGAAAATCCCTCAAATTGCGGCACCTCGGTGGTGCTTAGCTCACCTCAGCAGGATTTATGAGCACTTCTTCCTCCCCTTTTCCACTCACATTGACACGACATTGCGGCACAGACGAAGCATATGCAATGAAGACCCCTCAAAGAGGAAAATCTACCGTCCGTCCCCGGTTACAAAGCCCTGCTCCCTGAATGATGATGATGATGATGGTGGTCGTGAGGATGATGACGAACAGAGATAGCGATGAAAGTGAACGCGAGTGGTGACTACTTGGCAAGGCTTTTGAATCTGAGGGCAAGGCCAAGGCTAAGGGCGCCTCGCTAGCTTTGGGAGCAGCCGGCTTCAGCTTCCTCATCGAACTGGCCATCTCGCTGGCCCAGACCCTCAAAGCAGAAAGCTTAAAGGAAGGCTGCCCGAAGAGATGAGCTGAGCTGCTGAGCTTCAGGCCGAGGGCTGAAGGCCACTGTGGTAGCTCGCCTTTGTCAGAGCGGAGCAGCGAAGCAGCGGAGCGGAGCGCCGGGTCCCGGGTGCCTGGGGGCTCGGGAAAGTGGGCATCGCTCCGCCGGCCCTAGCGCCAAGTTCTGGTCGGAGCCCTGGTCCTGGAGGTCCTGCAGGCGGTCCTGCAGGCGGTCCTGCAGGCGGTCCTGGGGGTCCTGGTCCTGGCCCTCCTGAAGCAAAGCAGCAAAGCAAAAAAAGAGGCGTCTCCGTCTCAACACAGGAGGGCCCAGGGCCCCACAGCCAGCCTGGCACTGCAGTGAAAGCTGCCGTAAGTGGCGCTGCCTCCGGTCGCGTCCCGCGTCGCCCGACTGCGTCGCGTGTAGCATCGAATCTGACTCTGCAGCCTGCGAAGGTGGCTTGGCAGGGAGCGTAGCATTGGCCACCTCGAGGTAGCAGTTTGCAAAGACATCGGACCCACTCCTTTTCAACAGAGCTCTATCGAGTGCCATAAATCGAGCGACCCTGTTGGTGGAGCCCAAGACACTAGTGCCGACCCTCAAGTTTGAGCTCGCCCCATGGCCCGAGAAATCTGGGACCGGCCGCGGTGTCGTAGCGCTCCCCTGCAGGCATGTGGGCCTCCTGTGCGGCACTGTACCTTAGATGCTGTTCTTCATCGCACGGGCTTTAAGTTAGAGGATACCTTGCCTATTTTCGGCTATCGGCACCGCCCCACGCCACCAACCTAATACCTATCTTAGGAGAACTATTTTTTCCCCAATACTCCTATCTATCTAGGTGCCAATAGTCAAAATAGGCAAAGGGTTCCTCATAGGATTTGCTTCAGGGTTTAGGGTTAAAGGTTATAACTCTAATGTGATCATAATATATAGCTGCTTATGTATTATAATTGCATTATAACGATGGAAGTAAGGAAAACTCAAGTGGATGTCGGTGAAGTCGTTCTGAAAAATTTTGAATATGACTTGGTTCAATTTGTTTTCATCATGCTTGGTTTCTTCCGACAGTTTACTCCCGATATTTGGAAAATCTGTCTGCAATTGTTTTATCCTGGCTTCTCTGGTTCTGAGTCTAGATTCTCGTGTGTGTTGGTGAATATTTCCTGCTAAGTGGGCTTCGTACTTTTCTGGAAGAACTCTCAAACCACAACCACGGCAGTTGAATGCACCATTTTGTGCGGGTTTCTCTCGTTTTTTCCTATTGATCTCATCTTTGTTCTTTTCACGACACCGTCTGCTATGTTCACGACACCAACTGCATGTTTTAAACCCGTCAAAGTTGTCTACGTGCTTTACTAGTTTACATCCACTGCATTCTTGGAATTCATCACCCATCGCTTCTAATATTCAAGTTTGGTATTTCTTTAAATGTTTTCTGAAGAAATGCTGTTATACCAGAAAAATGTTGTCACTGATTCTTGACAGACTTATCTAAGCATTCTGAACAAGTCAAAGTGTATTTAACAGCACAATTATTGTAATGTTTCTTACTAACTGTATACACACGCTTGAAATAATCAATGGATCTTACAACGATAACACTTCCTAGTGTTAGCATTATTTGTTTCCGTATATGGTTCAAAATCAACTAATATCTTATCTACAATAACTGGCATTATTATTGTATACACTTTTTCATACTGCGATATGAAAATTTGCACCGGGAGAGACTTAACGTCTCTCGCGATTGCTCTACATGCAACCGGTTCCTTAAGATTTAACGAAACTAATTACGAATTAATGTCATTTCCAAACTCTTATGGTTTGTCTATGAACCTGTAGACTTGCTAGGCGCACGGGGGCATTGGCTCACTTCCTTCTTCTGTTTTTGATTGGGGGCATTTTATGCCAAGATGGCCTGTCAATATACACGAGATTTTAATCCATAATATTTACATTATTCTCCCAAATATTTACATCTTTGTCTATCCTTTCAACATCCTCCTCCACTTTTTCTAATCCCTCTTCTGGCGTAGGCTTTCGTGATCCCCACGCGATGGTAGCTGTATCAACACCTTCATTATCTGGTGAGTTTGCTTTAAATATGGCGTTTTCATCGGGGGATATTCCTCTTCCCATCTTCCAACTACTCCTATCTTCAATTATTGCTTTACCTTCATTGTTTATTTTAGTTTCTTTGTGAAAAGTCTTTTTTCTACATTTACACAGTAAACAGTTCAATCCACCTGTGTTTAAGTGGAAGCCACCTTCGTTAGTTTCCCTATGATTGTCGCTCATTATACTTTCTTAGATTTGTTTAAATACTCCAGAACTGCTTTCAGCAATTCTAAAGAAGCGGTGCAACACCTTTTAAGCTTTGTGTCGTGTATTGTAATCTTCTCAATTTCTTCAATCTCCTCAATCGTTTCTATGTACTTGTTCATTATTATATTAAAAGATATTTTTGCCTTACTAATTAATGAGTGATAATATACCTTCAATTGAACCTATAGAACCAAAAACCTATGATTTTAAACAATCTAAGTTTGATATCGCGGATTAGTTGCCTTTTAGGTCAATTGTTTGTGCAAGTAGTCAAGGTGGCAAAAGAATTTTCTCACAGAACCTAATCTTGAAAATTGACTTTGAACGCATACATATTTTCTCCCCGGCTGCTTCAGTTGACGATAATTGGATTCCGGTCAAGCGTTACATAACAGACCATCTCAAAGTTGACAATGATAAAAAAAGGTATCTTTGTGATGATTATGATTCAACAGCGTTACAGAACATCATTGACACCCAACATAAGGTAGTGGAATACCAGAAGAAGAACACGATTAAAAACCTATTTTCGGTGCTTATCGTAATTGACGATTTTGCAGAAGACCAACGGTTTATGAAATATTCTAAGATATTGCATGGCTTATAAACAAAATCCCGTCACAATGCGATATCCGTTCTAACATCAGTTCAAAAATACAATGCTGTGGCTCCTATATATAATTCGTTTAAACTCTAGTTCATTATACATTTTCAAGTTAATAAACTAGATGCTTTTATTGAGGAAAATTCCGCACTGGTGGACAAACACCGTTTGTATGATATGTAACAACAAGCAGCGAATTTTAAGCCCTATTCATTGATTCTTCTTTATTAAGCTAAGGTCACAAGACATTAATGAAATGTTTTATAGAAACCTAAACCAAGCATTTAAAGTTGATGATGATGAAACTGTTTCAAGAAAATGCATATTAGGATATATAGGGACATGAACAAATATCATAACGGGAAAATTTACAAAGTTGTGGATGTTGGATATAATAAATGCTACATTTGAAGCACTACGGAAAGCTTGAATAGGCGGTTTTCAAAGCATAAGCACAAATATAAAAAGTATATTGAGGGTGGGGATAAACATGCTACTTGTTATGACTTGTTTGACGAATACGGGGTTGAATGCTGTCAAATTGAACTCATTGAATTCTGCCATTGTGAAACAAAGGATGAACTTTTGAGACGGGAAGGACAAATATTTAAGGAAACAGATTGTGTCAATAGATGTGTTGCTGGAAGAACTGATAAAGAATATTATGAAGACAAGTACAGCCGCATAAAAACACTGCAGAAGGGATACAATGATGAACATAATGACGAAATAAAGCAAAAAAGAAAACACTCTTATATGGAAAATAAGGATAAAGTACTACAACAGCAGAAAGAAAGATATAGCAATAAGTTAGAAGAAATCCAGAAATATAAGCAGGAATATCATATTAAGCAAAGAGATAAGATTAACGAAACGGTTAAGAAACATTATGAAGAAAACAAAGAGCATTACAAAGAGTATAAAAAACAATGGGCGCTAAAAATAAAGAAACAATTACATGTATTTGTGGTTGTAATTACAATTACATGTATTTGTGGTTGTAATTGTTTAAAAAATCGTATTAGAAGACATGAAACAAACAAAAAACACCAAGAACGTTTAAAATCGTTAGAACAAGATTAATAATATTATTATTCACAAAAAATACTATTATTAATCACTATCGCTTTTCCCTTTCCCTTTTCCCTTTAACCCTCTAATTTCGTTTTCAAGCTTGTCAAGTTTGTTCAAAGCATACTGCAAAAAGCACTCCATAAAATGGGCGTTGTCTTTCCATAATCCATTCTTAAATAGTCGTTGTCACATTCATACATTATATTACCCCATTCATTATGCATTTCTTCGTTAAAACATCGTCTGCAATATAACCGACGCATTCTCTATCATGACCTTTATAATTGTATGTTTAGGCTTGATGTATTTAACGACATCTACACACTTCTTAATATTAACCTCTTTAATCAACACACTCGTTTTGAGGGTTGGATCCTTGGGGGTTGGATCCTGGGGCTTGGAAAACACAAAAGTTATCAAAATCAGAAGTCAACTTGAAGAAAGACCTATAGGATACGTTACAACATGCTTGGTTTGTCCGAGAGATGGTTCAACAGCTCTGTCCAAGCCGGTCAAAATCAGAAGTCAACTTGAAGAAAGACCTATAGGATACGTTACAACACGCTAGGCTTGTCCCAGAGATGGTTCAACAGCTCTGTCCAAGCCGGTCTGTGATGAGTGAAAACATTTGTCACTCAAGCACAGCGATGGTTCAGGAGCTCTGTCCAAGCCGGTCTGTGATGGAAGCTGTGCCATTCCAGTGACCCCTTGCTCCGACATTGGCACGTCGGGCAAGGTCAAACTGGATGCCTGGCCGCTGTGTCCCCAAGCAGAGAAACTTGATGGCTCTTCGGGCCACAGCCCGGCAACACCAACAGGTTCTCGCAAGGCTGAGGATATCTTGACTCTCAATTGACAACAAGACAAGTCCACGAAATTGTAAGAGCCAAATTGTTTTGCGAAGAAGCTAGATAGCCAGAATCTCAGAAGCTGCAGCAATGATTTCGAACATACTGCTGTGGAAGCGACTCGCACTGAGTGACCGCAAATTTTCCCAGCACCCACTGTCATTTCAGAATGTACACCTAACTTGTCAGATTTCTGACAATCTGAGCAACTGCTTCCCCGGATTGTGCAGTGTATTCCCCACTAGCCTGTACATCTGCTGACATACCGGTGAAACGGCCGTCTTCGCCTCGGCTTACGAGACCAATGAAAGCATTATGATCTGGTCTGGGCCTGGCCAGGTTCTCAAAATCAAACCCAGGCAAATGCCACAGTTGCGAGGGCTTCACTGACTTCCCGTTAAAGGCACCCATGTAGGTGCAAGTCTTTTCGAAGCCACAAAAGGACAGAACTGTTTTGACACACTCGAGGTGCGGCATACAGGAGCTGAGGGGCTGTTCCACCACAGGGCAGCACTCACATGCCCATCCCAGGAAAATCCCACGTGAGCAAACAAGGGCCTGACAATTTCCCTGCAGTACAAAGTCCCCCTCAGTCCATGAGCCTTCCCAGCCGTTGCTTTCAGCACGTTGGGCATGAAATGAGCACATAATGACAAAAGAGGAGCACGGGGTGCCCCACCAATGCAAAGCCTTCTTGTCACACGCTGTGGCTGCATCCAGAAACAAACGCAACCCTTTCGCCAGCAACATGTTGTGTTCGTCATTGTAGAGTACGTCAAAGCTGCACCCACGGAGACCGGATTCGATCAATTTCTTCGAAAGTTTGGCGCTCCCTGAATAGTATTCA